TTTTCCATTTTTACGAAAACCACAGAGGCGTCTTGTTCAGCGTGCTGTCAAACCTACACTAGCAAGGAGATCGGGCTGAAACTATAGCTACAAGCTATCCAAGGATGGTACTATAGAATGTCACCTCAAGGTAGGCCTAGTGGCGTCATCTCTTGGTTAGGCCGGAAACTTATCAATCCACCCTCGTATATTACTTAATATTTAGTTTCCTTAAGCTTAAGCAATACCGAAGATGTAGGACAGAGACCTAAATATGTAAAAAAGGGAGCTCTCTTCGATTAATTGAATTTGTGCGTCGGAAGGGGGCGAACGTTTTAAAGGAGAGATTATTTTTGCAAGTCCTTTATATAAATGAGAAGCAGGAAAGGAATCGGTAGGAGAAAGGAGAGAAGGTGCATTATTAATGGCTGCTATGACCAACAGACTCGTTCAAGATGTGGTCAGGGAACCGGTCAGCGCGAGTAGTTTACCCGTTACGGCTCCCGGGGGACGTCACCTCGACGCTATTATTTTTCTCCCCTAGTCGAGTGTTTGCATACTCCTGCCAGGAAACCAAATTCCCTATATTGAACGTTGCATTATTTGGATTAGCCTTGAATTATGGCACCGAATAGAACTTAGTAGTAGTATTCATTTTACATTTAGTATGTTCGACATTTTCCTTCTGGAAAGACTTATCCAGCCAAAAACATAAATGAAGAAAAAGGAGTCAAGTTCTCCTTTTATACTACACTTGTTACAGTTGAAACAATGCCCATTTGGGAACATAAAATATGTGTTTTTATTATTTTGAAATTAGGATTTTAGGTGAAACGTAGCGTGGCAAATGAACAGACACTAACTTTTTGCTGTCTGCTATTTTCATAGAACGAAAGTAAGAAAAAAACTCGGGCTCAGTTAGGTAGTTTCCGGTGATACCCAATTTCTGATGCTTGAATCAAATCGATCGGAAAGTTATGTATCTCGTGTTGTTTTCGTCCAGTCTGTAATCGGTTTATATCATGTCATAATTGTATTACACAGTTTGGTTTTCATATGCGAAAATACAAGTACATATTTATGGTTTTAGAGTACTAAGGTTTCATCATCATCATCATCATAAGGTCATCAGTCCTAAGACTGGTTGGACACGTACCTCCACTCTTTTCTATCCTCAGCTAAACTTCGCATTTCCCTAAAACTAGAACAGCCCACATCCTTAACTATTTGCGAAGAGTTATCTAATCTAGGTCTACCTCTACCCCTCCTAACTCCTGTTTCTGCTTCTAATATGTCTCTGACTAGACCTTCTCGCCTATTTTTTATTGACTTCCATAGAGTCCTCTGTTCTCCTATTCTTTCCAATACCTCTTCATTTCTAACCTTTTCTACCCACGATATCCCTATCATCCGCCTATTACACCACATTTCGAACGCTTCTAACCCTTTCTTTTCCGCCGCTCCCACTGTCCATGTTTCGCACCCGTACAACGCCGTGCTCCAAACATACACCTTTAACAACCTTTTTCGAATTTCTAAATTAACCGTTCGCGAGCATAGAAGTGACTTCATTTGGTAAGGTTTGCAAAAAAAAAAATTGTGCAGGTGAAATATCCAATGATAGGATATTCTGGAATTAACTGATTATTAAAACGATTAATAGAAAAATGAAACTAATTAAATGACTTACTTTCGACATCTAAGATGTTACTGTTTATTCGGAACTTTAAAATATTACATTGCACATCTTTGGTACGATTTTAAAAATTGTCACTGTTTATTTCATTGCAGTGGTCATACATACAGTTTATTTGGTTATAAATTTACCATGAGGGAATTATCGGCAGGCCTATTATTTTATTCCTGGTTTACTTGCTTTGGTCCTTAAAATATTTAAAAAGTTTCGGTAGATACATGCAAATGTCAGCCTTGCATACTAAAACCATTTCTCGCGTTAAAATCGACTTTTTCGATTATTTATACGAATGAGAACAACAAGGAGGATTAATTGCTTTATCGAGAAAAAAAAACAATATTTTTTGTAGAATTGGTCATCATTTCTGAAATTTTTGTCTCGACGTGTATTGGAAATGATAATTATGTTATTAATTAAATATGATTATCCACAGGTGTTGGATAATTCATCGAATTAAATTAATTATGATTACGAAATAATAATATGTGTAAAGACATAGTTTTCGGTGTTTAAAACGACGACGGTTTATGGATTTTATTAAGAGAAAATAACTCGACTACCGAGAACGTTCGTCATTTTAAGAATAAATTGCTTTTGTCATTGGCAAGCCCCAAAAAAATAAATAAAGCGTAATATGGTCGATTAATCAATTAACTATATTAATTACGAGCTGTTCCTGAAAGCTAAAATGTAAAAGAAAAATGCCGATAATGTAATAGTAATTAAGCACATTTACTTCGTAAGTTTATTGGGCCATTTACCATTTAAGTTATAAAACGTTCGACGGCAAGAAGAAAACGATTATTTAATTTGTAAAAAGAAATAAACTATTTTCGGGCAAAAAAAGACAAATAAGTGACGTTACATTTGTTATGTAATTAATTAGTAATTGTTAACAACAGCAAGAGTGACAAATACTGTTAAAAACGGAAAAATTCATCAAAACTGTTTATTTTATTATTACGTCCCCCTATTTGGTAAAGTTTAGGTTTTATTTGTAATAAATTTCATACGTAATTTTTCCTAAAATTGACTTAAGTGAATAATTTTCACTGAAACTATTTTTTTTTCGTTAATTTAAAATTACAATCATTACTATTAACATTACTAATACATATGTTTACTTTAAATATGCATTACAGGTTATCTTTGATAAAAAATAACAATGGTTAGTCATACTATTAGTAAATAAATTGTTACTGTAAACTAAGTACTCGTATTATTGAGAAAAATTAATTTGCAAGATTTTTGTGGAATTAGTATCAAATTAAGTTTTTTTTTGCCTAAATGAAATTAATTATAAATGAGAATATTTTAAGCGTCGATGAGAAAGAATAAAAGTTCGTACGAGATAAAGTACACATTACCTATACTTAAAAATCTATTTGATAAGTACGCGTCAGATTGAACTCATTTCTTATCAAATTCTTTCCGGTTATCTGTAGAGATTCATTAAAATGATTAATTTTTATAATTACTATCGCAGACATAATGATGAAAAAAGAACAGATTAATAATTCATGATTAATATTCTATGAAAACAAGTGTAAAAATATTAAATTTTTGTACTTTTAGACATGAATGCGTAAGTCGTATGGCAAATCGTCCCGTAGTCTATTTTCAATTTAAAAAATAAATCTAAACATAAATACATATAAATAAAATGTCTTTACTGTTAAAACCGCCGAAGCTATAAAGTGGTATCGTTTAAGTTGTGTTGAGATAGCAATGGCGGACAGCAGCCATATTG